ACATTGCAAACAAACCAAATAAACAAAAGAAAAACCCGACTTCATTCAAGAAAAATGAACGAGAAATTTACCGCAGCGCGGTTGCGAGGGTGATTGTAACGGCACCTATTCCCATATCCACAGAACCCGGTTCGCATGTAGTAAACACAGTCGGGTACCCCGGGCCGTTCCGGGTAGGATTCGGTGCCCCTCAACGACAATTGCCACATTGATTCTGCATTACACCAAAGAAATACTAATAAAAACCCTAATTCACTCTCCACATTATAAAAACCCTAAAGCCCCGAATAGAAATAAGCTTTACCAAACAACATCGTTACAATGCGAGTAGAAAACCGGAAAAATATTTAAATGAACGGAAAATACCTTCGAGGCCGGTTTCGGGACCGGCGGGGCTCCACTCGGGCTGGTGACCCGACTGCGACCCATTCCGCCCCGGGTTGCGACCATACAACTCCATCAAAACGGGGTTCTTCTTCTGGGGGTTTTCTGTACAGTAGTGCCTTACCGGCTCTACAGGAAAAAAATCAAAAACAAGGAAGAAGAAAAAATTGGAAGGTTCTAAGGAGAATTTTGGAATGTTCTAGAATGATCGGAGAGAGCTCGATCGATAGTGGAACTTTGCTAAGAAGTGTAAGAAGGAAGAAGATGAAGAAGAGAGATAGAGATTCTTTCACTGTAATTCAGCTTTTGTTTTTTCTCTCTCTACTCTCTCTCTAACACCGTACGACCTGGGTTCGGGGGCTTTTTTTGGCTGTTTGATTTTTCTTGTTCTCTTTTTTTTTTTATTTCTTTTTCCTTTTGTTTTTTCTCTCTAGCTTTTCTATTTTATTGGTTTTTTTTATAATTTGAAGGTTTTTTTTCTGTACCCGCCAAATAAAGCGCACCAGGAAATTTAGTAAATTTTCCGCGGAATTGTTTAAAACCCGGTTTTTGGACATAAAGCAGGTAACCGACACTAGTTGTAACTGAAATTACCTTAAAACCCTCTGTTTCTGTTCGGGCATCCTTTTACTTTACAACTGCTCGTGGGTGACACAACCGGCCTTCCTCAGATCATGTGTTAAAGGCTTGCTCAAAAGGGACAGGTTTGTCATTTCGACTATAAAGTGTACGAACTTTACAATTTATTGGGGCAGGCTCTGGGTCTCTGGACTGGAGTGGAGGGTAGCCACGAGGGAGAGAGCATTCATTAGGGAGCCTTGATGCTTGGCAAAGTCAGGCTTTTTCCTTTTTTTTTTTTTGAAAGCTTTGGTCAGTTATAGTTCCAGCCGCGCTGCGGACGCCTGGAGTGGTTAAGCTCGGGGTGTCTGAGTGAGTGGGGCAATGCTACACGGCGGATATGTGGAACAGCCCACCTGCGTACCCATGTATTGATAAAAAAAATGGTTAGGTTTTTTAATGCAATTAATGATTAATTGATTTATTTATTAAAAGGCCAAAATCTTTCTGGATTTTTGGACACATATGTTTTGCACTAGACCATGCTAAACTGTGTCTGGGACGTATATTGATAAGAGGAGTAATTTGTCCAACTTCCACAGCAAAAATGTTATGTGTTTATTTTTATTAAAATCCGCCTACATTTGTTTTCACCAAATACAAGTTCTCAATTGTGATATACAATGTGCTAAAAAGTTTTACTTCAAAGTATTAATCAATTTAATTGATTAGCATTTTTACCATAAATTCTGACTTTTCATATATACCATACATTAGTACCCAGTGATGGTAGAATTTATTTAAGTAAAGAGTGATTGATTGATTGATAACAAGGAAAGGTTCTTTTGATACTTAGCTTTATGGCTTTTATCGAGATTGATTCAGATTTTGGCGACCTTGCTATGTTTAAAACATTGTTGCCTTCTGACGGTCCAAAGCATTCGAACGTTACCGCCTTTATTTGATTCATAGACAAAACTTGGTTTCTTTAACAAACAACTTATGAGACAGTGTCGGTTGAAAAGAAATTTTTTAAAAAAAACAAAAGTATATGCCAATAAAAAGAAAGAAGACAAAAAAGCTGGGTATCTTTTATTATATTTGACTTTATTTATTTAATTTTTTAAAAGTGATGTTGATTAAAATTCAACACGTACACAAAAGAAAACTAGTAAAAAAATTCATGTTACTTTTGCGTATGCATATATATTTAATTATTATATTCTTGTTTTTTTTTCAATCGAGTTTTCTTAATGCGACTTGGATGATTGCGTTATATGAAAACTAAGATGTCCCCGTAGAGACATCCCAATGGATACTGATTAACAAATGATAGAACTTGTGAGATCATAAGTCATAACCAAAACAAAAGCAGTCATTGAACAGTCCAAGGAGATCACATGGAAACCAACTCAACTCAATCTTCGGCCAAAGAGAAAACAAAAAAGGAAACTTTGACTGTGACTGGTTTGATTCTTCTAGAATCTCAAAGGGTCCTTAATATATACACTTGCCTCTTTAGGAAAACCAACCTAAATCCAGCTGCCATCTTTAGTTCAAAATTCTCATGGATTACAATCGAAAACAATGCGATATGTCAATTCTCAAGCATACTTTTCTTTAGACCAAAGCAATTTATTCATGTTAATTACGTACCAGAGAATTAAAAAGCATTTACTCACCTTCTCTCATCACGGATGGTGCAACCAAACCACAACAAATTTCCGGCGGAAAAAAAAAACAGAGGAGGAATCGGGACATATATATGGCATTGGAGACTTCATAACTTATGAAAGTAACCCTACAAGAAAATGACACGCAAGCTTTCACTCATTTTGAGTCAGCAGTGACTCGGCTGCTTATCTTTGCAATCATGAAATTTCGAACTGAAAAGGATGCCTGAACCGGTGAATCCCCTTTTCTTTTTATGCTAATAATGCCTGAACTTCTCCCTTTAGTTTTCTATTAGTAGTGTAGATAGTATAATACATTTGTCAGGGCATTGTTTGGCAAAACTCATGACTCCAAGCTCAATGGTTGGTAGTCCCAACTCCCAACGGATAGTTAGCCGCCTACTTTTGGCATAAATAGGTACCTTTGATTGTTCTTGTCCATTGGATCACAATTTGTCCTGTTCTTTGACCATAATTTATGACGTGTTTTTGTTTAAGATGGTGGTGGTCTGGGATTTCCGAGAGAATTTGTGGTTATGCATCTGCCTCGAGGCCCAATATACATAAGAGTTCAAGAGGCTTAATCTCCAATGGCGAGAACTGTGGGGCCCAAATCAGTCGACAAATTGGCAGATCAATAACCTATGGGAGGATTGACCCCAACCGCTAGGATAGTGACTTTGGCAATGGCTCTCGACTGGCTTAAGATGAGGCATCTTTCGCTACTTCCCCCCACGCCATCCTTTCTTTTTCATCATTCAGCTATTGACTTCTGCATCGGAGTATGTCATGGTCTTGTTTTGTTTCTGTGCTAAATTCAATTCATTTGAGCGTAGGAGAAATTCAATTGGAGCTTCCTTGGATATCTTTTCCTTTTTTATTCGCAGGTCGTTTGGCCTATACATTCGGTCCAACTTTACTCTCACCAATTACGATCGAAACCATCTTTTATTTCTTAATTAGCAAGTAGATCACAATTAGCATTTCTTTATCCCAACTCTCTTTACTTTATAATTTCTTCCTGCTTAGTTTATTGTACTTTCAACAACATTCGCATTATTTTCACCCTTTTTGGAGAGGGTGAGGTAAAAACAGGGCATAATATTTAAGAAAAATATTTTAATTGTTTTTAAAAAATTATTATTTTATTATATTTAATCAAATTTATATTTTTTATTTTTTTAGACCATAATGTATACATCAATATCCACTTATCGTAATCAACTCATCTTAAGTCCATAAGAGATAAAATAAATATTTATCTCATTTTAAAAATATATTATTTTATTAATTATCTTGACTTTTATATAAAAAATGAGTTAAATAGTTGAGAATAAATAAATATATGAAAAAGAGATAAAACAAATATTTATTAGTCTTCAGAGATAAGTAAATATTTTAATAATTATTTTAATTTTTATATATTTTTAATATAATTATTATATTATTATTAGAAAATTAGAAAACCTACTAAAAATTTAGGACCTAAACCTACCGTTTTGGTGACTTTACCTTTGAGCTGGCACTGATTAGAAGGACGCAATCCTCCACAATATTTTTGAGTGCCCTAGAGAATGTTTTACCTTTAAACAAACCCACTACACTTTGACAATCCATTTCGATTTCAATAATCTCCAACTTTTCCTTATATTAGCACAAATTAAAGCCTAAGCTAACGCCCTTAATTCAGCTTCCTCAATGCTAGCATCATATAAAAATTTGCTCACACCTACAAGAGATAGTTCAACATTTGAGTTCCAAACTATAAACCTGCACCAACCCATTTTACACTATCATCGATGAATATAGCTGCTTCCACATTTAGTTTGCAAGTGCATGAGCAGACACTAATATTTTATTTTTCACATCAGTGTTACGTGAGTATAAAATGATAAATAATATTTTAAATAATAATAATTAATCAACTATTAATTATAAAAATTTATTTGATTTCAAATAAAAATATAAAAATTTAATTAAATGTAATAAAAGAATAATGACTTATTTAAATTTTTTTCAAGCAATATGTCCTTTTATTTGAATACAATTAATTTTTATTATTAATAGTTAATTAATTATTATTGATCAAAACGATCTCATAAAATGATAAGTGATATTATGATTAATCATAATTAGTTAAGTTACTCATAAAAAAAATAGTCTAAAATAAAGATTTAATTGAATGTTATAAAAAATAACATTTATTTGAATTTTTTAAAATAATTTAAAAATTTTTTCGGGTATTATTTCTAAAAACATGAATGACATAATGGAGAGTATAATTCTAACTGGTACAGGAATTAGTTATTTGCAGTGGGAGTAGAGTAGGAGAGATTTCCAAACGCGCCCCTTAACTTGCCAAAAAGCAAACAAGTTTGGAACGTTATCAGTTGGGTCAGTTCCGCTAAGCCACCGTGTCTTTTCCTTAGCCGCTCGGTCCCGCCCTCCAACCTTTGTCGCTCACTTCACATTTTATCCGTCACTTATTCGAACAAATTTCTCTCTCAGAAGTATTAGCTGCGACCGCAGCAATGACCAGCGTTGCGATGAGCTCCACAGCTCGAATGTTTACCAGCTTCAACCACTTCCCAATGAGACACCGTCTTGCTCCTCAGTCGAGAGGTTTGGTGGTGGCCAGACCTTGGCTTACATTTAGAGCTCCGAGAATTGTTTGCATGGCGGTGCGTTGACAGAAACTTCGTCGTTTTTGAAGAGAAACATATTGGCAGAGATTTCGCAGAAGTAAAATTTTTGCTGATTTTCTTTTGGGTTGATTTTTACAGGAGCCATATTTGATAACCAAACTGGAATCTGCAGAGAAGACGTGGAAGGAATTATCGGTACTACTTTTAAATTTTTGGTCTATCTTATGATTATCTAGTTGTGGATATCAAAATTAGGATTGGATTTATTGATTTCCAAGCGTGTCAGATTTATTATAATTTATAAAATGTATTCCGCATGGTTTTTGTTGGCTTGCTTGGCAGAGAATGTAAAATGCTTAATGGAATTTAGTCAAACAGCCACTAATCCAGTAATAAAGAATCATAAAATTTTCTAAAAAAAGAAAAGAGGAAATCCCAATTCGCCTATAGACTCTTTCCCATTCTCATAAATGCAAATTTATTCCAGCCATTGTTGACTAACATAGAAGGTCTGTCTTCTAACCTTATCATAAAGCATAAAAGTTGCTGCCTTTTTTGGAAGTTTTTCATTTTAGGCATCTACTGTTTCTGATATTTGTAGGCACAAGTATGGGAACGGTTGTGTTTCAGTATGGCAGAGGAGTAAAACTACCTATCTATGGTTTCTCCACCTTAGGCATGGAAATGTTGTCTCTATGCCCTTATGTAGTCTCTTAATGCAGTTGTTTAAGTAAGTTTTGTTTTTCTTAAAACAATGATACTGTAGGTTAGGCTTGCTGATCCAGATGTTGTCTCAAATCACACCGAATACCAGAAACTGGCACAATCTATGGCAGAACTTGATGAGGTACTGAATTTTATCTTGCTTTCTCTTATGCTGACTATCGTACTCAATCTCTGGCATAGGTAATTGGAGTTTTCATTGAAATAGATTTTGTGTTCTATTTTCTTGATGGATAGGTTGTGTCAACATTTAGGAGATTTAAGGATTGTGAGAAGCAGTTAGAAGAGACCAAAGGTTTTTCTTCCATTTATCTTATTTAAAAATCTTTTACTGTAAGATAAAAGTTATTCAACATCCTGTTTCTTCTTTGTAATTTTGGGCAGCTTTATCAGAAGAGGAGGGCACTGATGAAGATATGGCTGAGATGATAGCATCTGAAATCAACTCTTTATCCGGTCAACTGAAAGAACTTGAGGAGAAGCTTAAGGTTTGTGGCAAAAACTTTTGCTCTATACCTTTAGTTGCATCTCTATAATTATTTTCAATATTTTGGAGCTATTTTCCCATTAAATAAGTTGTGTGTATAGTCTGCTTAGTCAAGTGCATGATTAGTAGTTTCGGTTATTTCTTTTTGCATTGTAAAAAAGTTTCACTGACTATTTTCATTTTCAATGATTTGGATTTGATTTATACTTAAACTATTTCTGATTGGCTATATTTTATATAATATTGTTCATTGATAAGCATTAACCCTTATCGAGCCTTGTAGAGGAATCACCCTGTGCTTTTGTCATTCTAATTTATCATTCATCTTTCCTTGGTTGAATATGTCCTGTTTTTGCTGCTTATGTTATCTTTGCTTTTTGCTCCTCATAAATTGTCTCTCAAACTACAAGTTCCTTTCTGTTTTGACAGGTGCTGCTGCTTCCAAGTAATCCTCTTGATGCAAGGAATATAATGCTTGAAGGTAATTATTACAATCTTTCTTAATCTTGTTGAGAAGATATTTGAGTAACCAAATTTGTAGGTTGCACAACATTCAGGCTTTAGCAATGCCTATCTGTCACTTTTGTGCTGCATTTTGAGCACTAATTCATGCACAGAAATAGGCGTGATTTTCATTCCTCTTGGGTGAATGGTTCCATCTACTTAAGCAATGGTCTGCATACAAGTTGTGCGTCCCATGTGATGCTAATAATAGTTATAGATGCATCATCTGAACTATGCTTGTCCATTTTCCAGTGAGGGCAGGTACTGGTGGTGATGAGGCTGGACTATGGGCCGGTGATCTTGTAGGTACATGTTTCTTTTATCTTTTCAAATTTATGGCTTGGAATCATGCCTTATCATTGTTTTGAATGATGTAAGGCAGACTCAAAGCAGTTATTATTTATATGGCGAAGAAGTGGAAAAAAAATTTTACAGTTAAAATATGTAGAAAAAATTCATGGCCTTGAAACAGGAAACCGTTTATTTTTCTCTATCAACTTATTGTCAGCATCACCAGCTTCATGGAACTAGGCTACATGAGATATTTTACTTGTTTCTTGACCAATTTTCTGCTATATGGTTGAATAGAAATGAGCTAACCTTGCTTTTAAACACATCTTAATGGACGTTCAATATCCTTTTTCTAAATACCCAGGTCAGGATGTACCAAAAGTACAGTGAGTGGAACTCTTGGAAATCCACCCTAGTTTCATTCTCTGAGGTATTACTATACGTCTTATTACAATAATATTGAGTTTACTTTTTTAAAAAATAATTTCTTACTAAAATACTATGGGTGTCATTAGCAACTCATTCTATTAAACCATGACTAGTTTTAGCATGACCTTTGGTACTTATTGCCAAAAATTTTTAGTTAAAATTTTGTGTATAAATTTTTCTAGCATCACTACTTATAATTTTCAAAGACCAGCAGAAATATCCATCCTATTGTTCTCATGTGAGAGATGTCTGATATTTTCAAGGCTGAAAAGGGAGGATTCAAAACCTGTGTGATAGAGGTCAAAGGGAATCGGGTCTACAGCAAATTGAAATATGAATCAGGTGTTCACCGGGTTCAACGTGTTCCTCAGACAGAAGCACAGGGCCGTGTACACACTTCTACTGCAACTGTAGCCATCATGCCTGAGGTAGTTTACATTTCAGACCCGAATCACGTTTGCCTTGAGACATCTTGTGTGTGAAAGATGTCATTTCCATGTTGTTTCGAGTCAAGGGATAAATGTTTATTAGTTAAGCCTATTGAAGGGTTATTATGTGCCTGCATTTGTTTAATATTGTAATGTTACATTGAATCTTAGCTGCTGCATTCTATATATTTTCATCACAACTTTTGTTTTTTCATTTGAACTCACTTGTGCTTAAGATGAATCTTGGGTTAGGCCGACGAAGTTGAGGTGGAAATTGATCCAAAAGACATTGAACTTACAACTGCAAGATCTGGTGGTGCTGGAGGTATATATTCACAGAATATGGATTGTATATGATCAAGAAAATTTGCAGCTCTTCATGTCTCATCTCCCTTGCTTTCCCCAATGTGTTGGTGAAGATATTCTTATGCATAGTTATCATGCAGGCCAGAATGTCAACAAGGTCGAGACAGCAGTCGATCTCTTCCACAAACCAACAGGGATCCGCATCTTTTGTACTGAAGAAAGGACCCAACTTCAGAACAAGAATCGTGCTCTTCAGCTACTACGAGCAAAATTGTGAGGCTCAACTTAACCATCTGCTGCTATTTTCTAAATATTCGTATTTCAGTTTACATTTCTTTTATTCTTAAAAATATTTTGGATAAAAAAGAAATTTCTTATGAGGTGCTTTTGTTGTTTACAGTACTATTTATTTTACTCAATAATTATAAACTGTTACCTGAGATATGTATTCAGCATCCTGGGTCTCTTATTCTCTCAAAATTTGCTTGTATCTTCCTTTTTGGTCCATTCCTTATGATCCATGTCATCCTTACAGGTATGAAATAAAAGTAAGGGAGCAGCAAGAGCAGATAAGGAATCAACGAAAATCACAGGTATATATTGGTTTTTGTTCATGCTTGTTACACAAGTTTGCAGTTTCATGGGAGCTAATTAGAATGCTTTTTGGTGTCAGCTTCAAATTGCCCCCATTCCCTCCCTTCTTATTTTGCATGCACATTATAATTGTTGGACAGCAACTTGCCAATTTTCAATTTTTGGTGGGATTATCATCGTCATCATTACCTTTTAGGTTATAGGCAGTAGCTAACACATACAACTAAACACTGCAATTATTGTTTTCTTAAGAGAACCTAGAGGAATGTTTTGAAAGTCTTCCATGTATACGGACATCATGCTCACTTATGTATGGTAGCAACATCCTTTTCTGGTCATTGTTTTGCCTTTACTTGTTTGTTGTTTCATATTCTCTCTCTAAATATCAGGATATTCTTTGAGTGATAGAGTTGTAGGTGTTAGAAAAAATTATGGGAAACAAGGAATATAAAATAAAATAAGTAAAAACAGTAAGAGGAAGTTTGAGACGTGGTATCACTGTCCTTAAGGATAATTTTCGCCCTTTCGGAGTATAAAATTCGGTGCAAAAGGACTGTAGTGGTTATCCTCCAAGATTCAACAGACTCTTCCTTAATAGTTTGCACAAACTATTAAGGGTTGACAGAAACAGCAAAAAGAAAGAACCTAGCTAGAGAAGAAAGGAGGCAGAGAAAGCTTAAAAGATGAAAGGCTTAGGTGTGTGTTGTGAGTGAGGGTGTGAGGCTGAACCTTGCACCAGATCAGGGAGTTGAGAAAAAGGCTCAAGGAGGCGTAGGGAGGGAAATCTGAAATTTCTCAAGATCTGGCCCAATCTTGTATGCGTGAGCCCACTTCGTTTTCCTTGCTTACAATAAGCCCATAGTGAGTTTTCATATATAAGGCATTCACCTTTCATGTATCTTGACAATGTGAGATGTTTGAATCTTATGAAATACATTATTTTCCAATAGTAGGCATGGGAAAATTGAGTTGATTTTGTGTAATTGCTTTCTTCTAAATGGAATTACTTTTCTATGATTGTTTATTGGGTATTAAATGTCAAGGATTGGATTGAAGTGCCTTACGTATGTATGTTTATATTGTAGGTTGGTACTGGTGCTCGTGCTGAAAAGATTCGAACCTACAATTATAAGGTCTGGCCACAACATTGCTTTTGCTAAGTTGCTTTTAGCTCACTTGATACCACATTTTCACCTTATTAAAATCATATAAGAACATTTGAGCTAAATTTACGCAATTTGAAAAAGAGAATTCACACACACACTATCACGCGCGCACATGTATTTGCTTATTTGATTACTGGTTGGTTTTGTTGCCTTAGTTAGAATCCAATGGCTTAGTACAAGACATTGGTATTATGTCACTTGTGAAAACTTACTAATATTATGCTACCATTTATCAGGACAACAGGGTTACTGACCATCGGTTAAAGATGAACTTTGAGCTTATGTCTTTTCTTGAAGGTGACATCGAGAATGCAGTTCAGGTACTATTTCTATCTATATTTCTGTTTCTATTGTCCATCTCTTTTTGTTCCCAATATTTTGTACTGAACTTGTTTCTGGATAAACTAGAAAATTAGTAGAATAAGGTTCCATTACTTTTGTTCAAGAATGATTGAAATTGCAGTGCTAGTTCTTGCCTTTTGTTGCAGGCTTGTACTGCGATGGAACAGAAGGAACTCTTGGAAGAGCTTGCCGAGTCTGTCACTGCAACAGCCAGCTGAACTGCAGCATTCCGTGATTCGTGCATTTGGAGTGTTTGGGTGTCAGGCAAGATATGGCGTAAACTTTGAAGAAGTCAAGAAATTACCCATCAACAAAGAGTCAGCTGGTGAAAGTACATGGAGGTCACTTGCACTACATAGCAATGCTTGCACTTGGGTGGCTGAAAATCGTCCAAATATAAGGGCAACTTCACATATGAAAATGCAATGACCGGGTTTACCAATAGTTTAATCTTGATAGATTGAAAGACAAAACCATTTTCATTTGTAAAATTTAGACGCTGGAATGAATATTATTGTGATTATTATCCTATACATTCAATGCCCGTAGATCCAAAAGTTCGAGGAGTACCCATTTCACATGTTGTTGTCCAGTTGTACACTCGAAATGACAGGTAGACTTGATTTCGAATTCCTGTGAGCGCAAGTATTGGATGGTGAGGTGGGGAGATGGGCTAACCAATCTAGTATTGACTAGTTATTAGGTAGGTACTTGCGAGCTGCTGTGCGGTCCAAAAGGGGCGTTTTGATCGTTAAAGTTTAGACTAATTCTTAGATGACACATTAATCTAATCTTTATAGTTTTACTTTGTATGATGATGAATTTTATGTGATTTTTTCGTTTTTGTAGTAAGTATAGGATTAACATATAGAGTTGTGCTATTCCCCGCCAACCTTGTGGTACTGGGTCCTACCCTACCCAAGAGGTTGCAGTATTATTATAAGCTTATTGTTGCTATTAACATCCGCCAGGTGGAAGACATAGTTAAGCGCAAGTTTATCCATTGGGAGACTTGCTGGACGCGTGCACAGCTGTCAAACCTGAAACCCCGTCCGGCATTTAGATTTCCACATGTCACATCCTTCTTATCAGCATATGTCACCTCCTCGAAAGTCTTTGCTCTTCTGTGCCTTCCCTTCCCCCACCGGAGCCTCAACTTCCCCTACTCCCTGTAAAGATCCTTTTTCTTTTTCTTTGTTGTCTCTTTCTCTCCATAATCTATGCTTAAAACTCTGCTTCTCTTTTCTTCTTCTTCTTCACCTCCTCCTGCTTTCTTTTTTCGCCATAACAGATTCTCTTCATTACCAAGAAAATTCCCATATCCCTACACTCACTTTCCTTCACTTTCTTGGCCTTTCTCGAGCGTTTTCCCTCGACCCATTCACTCCTTCAAGGTCCTTGCCATGGCTGAAGGGACCACGACTTCAAGTTCACACTCACATAAGTACACTAATCGTCTCGCAGCTGAGCATAGTCCTTATCTTCTTCAACATGCTCATAACCCTGTAATTCTATCAATTCATTTATTTTGGGATATGGGACTAATGAGATTTTTAGCATTTCAGCTCAGCAGAGTTTAGTTTTTGTTTGATTTTATAAAATTTAGCAAAATAAATAAATATCATTTCAATAAATCACGGCTCTGTTCTAGATTTCACTTTCTTATGTTATTTATATGTTGGTTTAATTTGAAGGTTGATTGGTATCCTTGGAGCGAAGAAGCTTTCGCAGAAGCAAGAAAAAAAGACGTGCCAATTTTCTTATCGAGTAGAATCTTTTCATACTTAGTGTTATTTGGATAATTTGCAGTTTTATCATTACCAATGTCTTACTAACTTTGGTTATTTGGTCATGTACTTGATGCCGGTCTTCTATTTGAAGTTGGATACAGTACTTGCCACTGGTAAAAGTCTTTACTCGTTTGTGCAAATCGACATCTGGACTACTTTGTCATTTAATGTAAATAGTGAAATTATAACTCACGGAATCGTTTTTAAATCATTTGTGAAGGTGTCATGTTATGGAGGTCGAGTCTTTTGAAAATGAAGAGGTAGCAAAGTTGTTGAACGATTGGTTTGTGAGTATTAAGGTGAGTGTGAATTTAGTTAATTTTCTTTGTGTACTTTGTACGTCTTTTTGAATATCTAATGTCCAATTCTGCCTTGGTAAGTCATGAACTGACCAAAAGGGCTTCTAAAGCATATGATCTCCCATACTACTTAAATTTCTACCATGCCCCTGCTACAGGTGGATCGAGAAGATAGACCAGATGTTGACAAGGTAAATGTGATCTAAAGGAATTATTTAGCTCTTTTGCACAGTTGGTCTGTTTGTTTGTGATTAGTGACTACATAGTTTAACACAAATGAATGCCATTGTAAGATAGAGGAGATGCAATGTACCAGAGAGGCACTTATATGCTTATACTATAGTTAAGATGTTAGATATGATTTGTATTGCTTGACAACTGGTCACTAGCTAAATGTTGACCATGAACATTTGTCAGATTATCATCCCATGCTTAATATATACCATGCTAACAGAATAATTTCATTTTTCTAGGTCTACATGACATATGTGCAGGCCCTGTATGGTGGTGGAGGTTGGCCATTGTCCGTCTTCCTTTCACCTGATTTAAAACCCTTAATGGGTGGAACTTACTTTCCTCCTGAGGATAAGTATGGAAGACCTGGATTTATGACCATTTTAAGGTTAGCAATATTTTCTTCCTGAAACACACAATTTTTTTTTGTTTCTATCTTCTTACTATTCCCTTTTCCGGTTGGGTTGTAAGCAGTGGTTGGTGACGCTTCTAGGTGGTAGTGCTAAAATTTGAGTTTAAACTTTCCCTCTCAATTTCATATTGCTTCAATAATGTATGTTATTTTTCTGCGTTGCTCATTGTATTCCTCCCCTCTCCTTCCCTTTCCTTCAACTGTTTCAGAAAGGTGAAGGATGCTTGGGATAATAAAAGAGACACGCTTGTTAAGAGTGGAGCCTTTGCTATTGAACAGCTATCAGAAGCATTGTCAACTAGCGCAGGTTCAAATCAATTGCCAGATGGGCTTCCTCAAAATGCACTACGCTTATGTGCCGAGCAGGTACGCTTCTATCTTTTGAGAACATGACATGGCCTATTCAGGAACACACATAGCTCTATCGAAAATAATAGTGTTGGTATAATTTAGTAGTTGATTTTTATTGATCTGGTAATTGTCTGAGTCACCTTATCTTTTTCTACAAACTTCGTTTGTAGAAAAATGGAGTAAGCACTTTACTGTACCGATTGCAGCATTTACACTCATCTGATAGGACGAAAAAGATTAAAAAGTTTTTTATGTATAAGTACACATTTGTTGATGAGAAACTTGTTTTTAGCCATCTTCACAAAAAAAAAAAGCACTCAATTCTTCATGTTGATGAAGATGAAACTTCAGTGTAGTTATCTCAGTTTTATATGTCCTGTTTGCAAGGGAATTTAATCTTGTAACTTGATGGGTATGAAACTGTTGTTCTTTCCTGACCATCAATAATGTACCATACAGATCAATATTTTACTTTTCTGGAGTGTCTTACTGCATTTCTTTTCAGCTGTCTAGAAGCTATGATTCAAGGCTTGGAGGGTTTGGATCTGCTCCTAAGTTTCCTAGACCAGTTGAGATTCAATTGATGCTCTACCATTCCAAAAAATTACAGGAAAATGGAAAACCAGGAGGTGCAAAAGAAAGTCAGAAAATGGTTTTCTTTAGCTTAGAATGTATGGCAAGAGGGGGTATTCACGACCACGTTGGAGGTGGTTTTCACAGATATAGTGTGGATGAATTCTGGCATGGTCAGTTTCTTCTTTTTCTTTGTCTTTTCCTTTTTGATTTCTAACGAAAGAAAATGTTCACATAGAATATTGTCTTTTCTAATTAACATGATTGCTACATATTTATCTCTATTTCATAGTCTACTATTCATAATTACCACATCATCTATTTTTGTTCTTACTTTTTTTTATGGTGTATAATTGTTCCAGCAACTTTTTTTTATAGTAAAATTTTTTTCTTCTTCTTTTGTTATGATGGACATCATTGTAACTGTTATCTTTTCTTGCAGTTCCTCATTTTGAGAAAATGCTGTATGACCAAGGGCAACTTGTCAATGTTTACTTGGATGCTTTTTCCATCACTAAAGATGTATTCTATTCATTTGTCTCCCGTGATATCCTTGATTATTTGAGGAGGGATATGATTGGTTCAGAAGGTGAAATTTTTTCAGCAGAGGATGCTGATAGTGCTGAATTTGAAGGTGCAACCTGGAAAAAGGAGGGAGCCTTCTACATATGGACAAGCAAAGAGGTTCTTTTCCATTTTTGATTGTGCACACATAATTCATTAGATTAGAGTTCTTGTGCTTAAGTTGTAGTGGGAGAAAATAAGATTTTATTCAGCAATGACGCTTGTCTCGATGTGATTAGGATTTTAACATCAGCATTCCTGTGCTTCAGTTAAATAGTGGAAAAATAATTTATTTATTCAGCTTGATTCTTGTCTCAGTCTGATGAGAATTTGGTTTTGAATTATTATGAATGTTTGTTTTTTACTTATTTCTCTTCGGCTGGTTAGAATGACCGTGCATTTTATTGTATTTTTCATATCTTAATTGAAGAGGTTCTAGATGTATGCTGCATCATTGTTTATATCTGCCGATCTAACGCCTCCCACTTCATCTCCCACCTATCTGCTATAAGCATACATGCTCAGAAACAATTAAATTGTTGTTTACATGGCTAAGTTCATTCAACTCTAATTTCAAACTTCATGGTTGAATAAAAGATGGTCATTCTTGTTGTTGGACAATGTCAAATAGCCCTTTCTGCATCTACTATCTAGTTTTCTCAGTTGAGCTGTGTATGCAAGCTGTGCATACGTTTGTGATTAGTCATAATGGTTAGCATTGGGTAATGTATATTCTTTTCTATTATCAAATGTTTGTAATTAGTCCCCCTCCTTATCCTAAATTTCTGAACAATATTGTTGATCTTTCTTGTTTAAGATTGATGACATTCTTGGAGAGCATGCTAGTCTTTTTAAGGAACACTACTACGTAAAGCCCTCAGGAAACTGTGATCTTTCTAGAATGAGTGACCCACACAATGAATTCAAGGGGAAGAATGTGCTCATTGAAAGGAATGATTCTTCAGCACTGGCATCAAAACTTGACATGCCAATCCAGGAGTATCTTGATATTCTAGGTGAAAGCAGAAAGAAGCTTTTTGATGTAAGGTCAAAGCGACCCAGGCCACATTTGGATGATAAGGTATTTTTCTGATAAATTGTGAAATAATGTTACGTGATTCATCTATTACTTTTTTTCTTACTGGTCATGCACACTTACATCAGGTGCTTGCTAGGTGATTGTATCATGGAATGGACTTGCAATTTCAGCTTTTGCGAGAGCATCTAAAATCCTCAAGGGTGAATCACGGGGCATGTGTGTCAACTTTCCTATAGTTGGCTGTGATGTAAGATTTTACTTTCACTCAGAGAAGTGAGTTGAATTGTCATACTTGAATTAGTAGCGGTTGAGCTTAGTGTCATGCTAATGGCTCAATCATACTTATTTTGTTTAGTTCATGGCCCAGCTCAGATGCATCATGCCATTTACCGAATCAAATCTATAGCAGTAGGAAAATAAATGCAGTTGATTTTGTTTGTAGTAAACTATGCATGTAAGACCTATTGCAGCAAACATGCTAATAAAACTGCATTTGAGTGGTAGTTGAGCTAGTTCTCTGGGATAATATGCATTTTAAAAATTTTGTCTACTGTCACTAAATATTATTCTATTTGTATTATCTTAGTGATTAGTGAGTTCATCTGATGCTGGAGCTTGGTTATGGCTCAAATGCTTGGCCAAAAAGTTATCTCCAGTTCTTGATTGGGACTTGAAGATCCCAATAATCTAATTACATTTTCAATGATTTTCAAACTCCATGAGTAACATTGACAGCAGTGGCAGTATTTTCTTGCTACTCATTTGTTATTATATTTTTTTGCTTGGTAATTCTTATTTAAATATTAATTTTGCTAATTTGATAATTCCAGCCTAAGGAATACTTGGAAGTTGCAGAGAAGGCAGCAAATTTTATTAGAAGACATCTGTACAATGAGCAAACACACAGGCTTCAGCATAGCTTTAGGAATGGCCCATCCAAGGCACCTGGGTTTTTAGATGATTATGCTTTCTTAATTTCAGGGTTGCTGGATCTTTATGAGTGTGGTGGTAGTACTGATTGGCTAGTTTGGGCAACTGAACTGCAGGATATGCAGGCAAGTGTTATAGATGGTCCAATTTCCATAGATTCTTCTACTGTTTTCCTCCCCAATATTCTTCTAGCTTACTTTTCAATTTTGTGGTCCAGGATGAATTATTCCTTGATAGAGAAGGTGGAGCCTATTTTAACACACCAGGAGAAGACCCTTCAGTTCTTCTCCGTGTAAAGGAAGATCATGATGGAGCAGAACCATCAGGAAACTCAGTCTCTGCAATCAATCTCGTGAGATTGGCCTCCATGGTTTCTGGCAGTAAATCTGATCGTTACCGGGAGAACGCAGGGCATCTTCTGGTCTGTCTCACTTCATCGAGATTGATTGATTTTCCTCCACTTAAACTTGCTTTCATAAATTGTGGCTTGATTTTGGGACTGTGTCTATGTTTTGCAGGCTGTTTTTGAGACAAGATTGAAAGATATGGCAATGGCAGTGCCGCTGATGTGTTGTGCAGCCGATATGCTGTGTGTTCCTTCCAGGAAGCAGGCTGTATTGGTTGGCCATAAGTCTTCAGTAGAGTTTGAAAACATGCTTGCTGCTGCTCATGCCTCATATGATCCCAACAAAACAGTAAATACAATACTTAAATACCTTTTCTCGATCTTGTGGTAAGTTACATCTACAATGACTTTGGTCTCATTCCATACGTGGCAGGTAATTCCCATAGATCCAACCAACACAGGAGAGATGGAATTTTGGGAAGCGAATAATAGCAAGGTTGCCCTCATGGCAAGGCAAAACTTTGCTGCTGACAAGATGGTTGCACTTGTATGCCAAAATTTCACCTGCAGCCTCCCAGTAACCAGCCCTAAATCCCTAGAAGATCTGCTCTCGAAGAAGACTCCCTCGGTTGTATGAGCCAATCGGAAGTTGGTCTGAAAGCTTCTGTCTTAATACTGTGATCAAAACTTGCAAGATACAGAATGGCAGGTTCACTTGTAGTACACCGCCTCGAGTGAATGAATAATTGTGACAGAAGAAACGGTTTCATAGGATACTTTTTTCATAGTAATATTACTTTCTGTTTTCTGCTTCTCTCTTTTGTAGGAAGAACTTTCTGCATAAAGTCTCGTCTGTGCCAATGTTTTAGACCTTTTAGGAATTCCGTACTGTAGTCTAGTTAAGAAAAATAAAATAAAATACATGTACTTTGTCAACTTTTGATCGTAATTATATTTGAAATTATTAATTTTCAAAATAAATATTTCATATTAAATGTATAAATGTCTAAACGTTGAATATATAAAATATCTGTTTTCTCTATTTTTTTTCTTTTAGGTTGATTAATGGTGTTGTTTTATACTTTGATCTCTCTCAGAGAGCACGAGATTTGGCCGCACATCCCAGATCTCGGGCTCCTCTAGAAAGGAGCACTAGATCTGGTGCTCCTTGATCCATGGGTGGTAAACAGTTTTTTTAAAAAAAATTAAAAAAAAAATTATAATTTATGTAATAATAATTTTTAAAATTAATAAAATATAAATTTGTTTGAAAATATTATCATTTTATCAATCTAACCAAAATATTGACAAAAGATTTATCTGTTCAGTGAAAATGTTTTTTTATAATTAAATATTTATTTTAAAAATTAATAAATTTATATATAATTAAAGCTAAAAAAGTCATAATATTTTACCCTTAGTTTAATTTTCTATTTCATAAAAGAGATGGATCTATTAATTGGCTATTGGCTTTGGCTAGTTATACAAACACTTATAATACCATGTTGATATTTGTGATTATAAATATCGTAAATAAATGTATTTTATCAAGAAAGAACAATAAAGAACATATTGGGACGGAAAGATAATTTTTAATTTATAATAAGTATTATCATTATAAATGTTCAAGGTAAAGGTGAAAATTTTAAACTTCACAAACTAATTAGAGAGTTAATGTGTTTTATTTAAGTTACACTGTTTAAATATATTAATAAAATAATACATAATTTGGGCATTGCATGGTCCAAAGTTGAAGCCCACTGCGAAGGTGGGAAGAGAGTTGTCGCAAATGGTTGGTTTCTGGAATGTCCGAAGCCACTGATCGTTATCGTCATCTTCATCATTCACCATCCACTCAAACTCTACAATGGCAGTACACCAAAAGTTTCAGACCGCGAGACTGAACTATATTTCAATCCCTTCTGTACTATTCATTTCGAAAAAGCCAACCCAACTAAAAAGCCCCCTAGCTGAGCTTAAGCCTACACGCTTATCTCTTCAAAATGAGACTTCCGTTAAACCCATCACCTCCAAAACCACTACCAAGCAACACTCTTTCACTATTACTTATCTTATAAACTCATGTGGGCTGTCCTCAGAGTCTGCCATTT